TTTTTCGCCACTGGTATGCACTTTTTTTTTTTTTTTTTTTTTTTAAGACCATAATCACCTGACTGAAAGGACATGACATTTGCACCTTTTTTTTCCATTTCAGTTTTGGCAGCTGTATAATTCGGTGACCTTGTTTTCCTTGGCGGGACACGACGACTGCAAGGAGTGGCAGGTGAGGCTCACTTTTCACTTCACTGCTCACGCCCGCTTCCAATTGGGGCTCATTTGTGACAATTTCCTATGCCAACTTTGTCAAAAGGATGCTGAAATGTTTCCCAAAATGGCTGCTTCACACCAAAATGGCGGACTTTGTTTCATTTTTGGGACGGGTCCTTGAGATTTTTTCATGCGACGTCTGATGACAGACCCAATGTTGTGTCGATGGATAACCAGCCGTGATGGCATAATTTTCCTAACTCCAAACCAAAATGGTCAACTTCCTGTTCAATTTTCGGGCCATGGGTCCCTTCTTCTTAGGATGAATGTGTCCATCCAATTTTGTGTATGTGTCATTGTAGAAATTTGAATGAAATTCAGTGTCGAGGGGATGGACAGCGAATTTGTTTTTCCAAACAAAGGGGCGCAATTGATGTGTTTTTTGTTTTTGCCTCAATCTTCCTGAATTTATGTTTCAGGTGTTCATGCTGGCTCTTACATTCCTGGTCCTGTTCCTGGGTAACTTCCTGACCACGTTAAAAGTGGTCCACCAAAAGGTGCACAACAAGCAGGACAATGTGAAAAGAAGCGACTGAGACACTCCTCACACACTTGGATTTTTTTTTTTTGGTCTTTTTGGGAAGTCAACAAACGGCCGGCCGGATTTAGCACGCAGGCGTCTGTGGATTCTCTCGCTCTTTCTCTCAGGTGTTGACGGCAGCACCCGCCCATGCGCCGCGAGATTTCAAGTCCCGGGCGCAGGTTCTCGCTGACGTCCACTTTGCTGCTCCATCCTGTGCACGCAAACCACACAATTGACTGTTTGTTGTGCACTAATCTACGCATATGCAACTACGAGAGGGATCCACTTTGCCTTTGGCGCGCACGAAGTTTGTCATGTCCACTCTTTGTGGTTCGTTCGTGTGTTACTGCAGTTCCTGATTTCGCACCTAGACCTAGATCTACTAGACTGTCTCTTCCCAGAGAATACAGTGAACCCCCACATATTTGCTTTTTTTTTGGGGGGGGGACATAACTCGCATAAACCTTAACAATTTTTTTTAATTTACTCGATGCATTTTTTTGTTAGGTTTTTTTTTTTTTTTTGTTTATAAATTTTGTTGGGGATTATTATTTTTTCTCTCTGCACTAGGTCTCACTCCCTATCATATAGAAGTTTATTGCTGCCACAACGGAAAAATCATTATCACATTAAAACAGTTCGCGTTGTACTCTGATAACTTGTCACGCTTTAACATACTCAGATAAGCTTTCCTTATTGAATTAATTAGAAATGCCTTAAATTTCTTTCACCCCACGACCCACCCTCGCAACCAAGATAGCCACGTTTTTTTTTTTTTGTAATTTTTTATTTATGAGAAAAATAGCACGACTCAATGTTGTACTGAATAACAATATAGAATGTAAAAAAAAATATTTCGTTGACAGCTTCACTTAAATAAATGTCTCTGCAAAGTGAAAAATGCAGCCTGGTGGCTGGAATGTATCCCAACGGGTCATTGCGGGGTCGCTCAATGAATTTCGGCATGATTTCAAGCTTTAATTTAATGGGACAATATCCACTACCTCTTCTCAGCACTCGCTTAAACCCCATGGTTAGAAACAATAAATTTGGCAAAAACAATTAAAAAAATATATAAATAGCACAGAACAAGAGATGCCTACATGTACTTTTACTGCGAAATAACCCTGTGAACTGACTGTGGCCGGATGTTGTGAAATTTGCTGTTGCCATCTCGTGGCGGAGTGACCTGCCAGAAAAAAAAAATTGGAAAATAAGGTATCACTGAATGTTGAAGTTGAGGAACGTCATTTATAGTGAAGCTGTGCTTTGTCGCCATCTTGTGGCAACTGTAGGTAATTCTAACCCCTTTTCAGGGTTGCCACTCGCTATCGGATTTTTGTATGTTTTGGAGGTTCACTGTACTCTACTTGTTCCTAAACATTTCCATCAAACTCATTTCTGTGGACGCAATGAAGGATCTCGGACTTAACAATTCAATGTTCTTGGCACGAATGACCTTTCATGTGTTTCTGTTTTAATTCTGCACAGGGGTTCACCACTTTGGACGTATTATTATTTTGTCGTGTTGCACAATTTGTTTTGTTTTTCTTTTTGGTATCAAACGCCACCCCTTGTAGTGGCAGTATTGTAAAACGCTGTCACATACAGCCAGGACAAGGAAGGGACGACGCAATTGATTCTCATAATTGCAATCAACAAATTAAACATTTCTAACTGAAAAATCACTTCAAGGATCCATCTCTTTTCATTGGGATGAAGTACATCATTTTAGGGATCATCAAACTGAGGTGGCATTTGCCCTCGTTACCACGTCAGCAGCAGTCAGAAGTTCTGGGTTTGAATCTCCACAGCGGCCTACTTGTGTGGATTTTTGCATTTGAAGACTTTTAATTTTCTTCAGGTATGAATGTGAATGCTTGTTTCTTAATTTGTGACTGATTGGCAGCCACTCATTTGTTTGTCCATAATGTGCCCAGACATTGTCCGGCGACCAGTCCATTGTCTATCCCTGGATGGTTGGAGGAAATTAAGGACGGTTGGAGTTCACCTTTTCTCACACGAGTTGCTGTTTTATTTCCATATTCGTGGCCTCAAAAGTCACTCTGCTACAAATACCTGTATGTAAGTACTGGAATTATGACTTTACCACTGAATTTTCATAGGTTGGTGATAGACCATGTTGTTCCCATTTCGCCACCAGATACAGAATATATTTCATTCGTTTTTATTTTTGATTGCTTTTCAAAAAATGCTTCATTTTTGTTTAGTTTTAAATTACTTTTAGTATTAGTTTTAGTTTTTCTTGGTATTTCCAATATACAATGTCCCCAAAAATGTTTGAATGGATAGCACAAAAAAAAAAAAACGTGATGATATTTCTTAGAACATATTTATTTTTTAATATGAGGTGCTTTCGCAATACAGGTGCAACCAATCTTATTATGACTTATCGGTTTCCCCTCAGAATGGTGCAAAAGATAGCATATCGTAAAAAACGTTGTAATATAAAAAAAATGGGGGTGGGTATTTTGAATGACCTCTTGACATAATCATCTCACATTAATATCTTTTGAAACTTTCTTGAGTCATTTCCAGCTAGAATATTGAGCATATACTCACCTAAACTCAGGATGTGAGTCCTATTTGGCATTGTGCTTCAGTAGCGGGGTCAAAATACCACAATCATTTTTAATTTAAAAAAAAACAGAAAATGAAAATATTTTTCATAATGAGAAGCAACATATACACAACAGTACTCAAGTTCAGCATACCGCGATTTGGGATGAAATTTCAGGATAAACCTAAAATGCACGTTAACATCTTAGGGTGAACTTAATTTGACGTGGTTTTGATTGGACATTTCCAGTTGTTCAATTTTTCAGTACTTGGATCACAATTTGCTGTTTGACAACAAGGAGCTGAACGGCAAAAATCCCAAAGGGTGTTCAATCCGTTAAGATTTATAAGGACATCCAACTGTATGTATTTCTGTCACTCTATCAGTCTTTCCGTAGCAACTGCTGATGACCCGACTGCATGCTGAGTGGCCACGCCCCTCTCCGTTAGCTTAGCACTTAGCTTGAAGCCATCAACAAGTGTGGTCGCCATTAGTCGGTGAATTTCAATTTTGTAGACCGTGTACCACAATACTAAAAGGAGCGTGTTGGCTGAAATATTTATCAAAAAACAGAAAGACCCTAACATTGTAACACTTCACGAAGAAATACGTAATTTACCAAGAATAAAGCCCGAGACGAATATTTAAATTACAGTCGGACATAATGGATTCAAAGGCTTCGAGTGATACTCGAAGTGTGGTACGCTGCTCCCTCTAGTGGTATGCAAAAGAAACATTCAAATCTCCCAACTGCGTAACAACGTGGCTCCAACATTTTTTCAAACATGTGGCGCAGTGCATTTTCTAGGTACAGTTTGGTTGTATTTGTACATTTAAATTAAGTTTTAAGCTTAAGACAAAACCACGTCTGACTAACCAACCAAAATGTGTCGCGGTCATAGGAGGGCACAATTCCTCTTGCGTTTGTAGTGGTTTTGCTTGCGGCGGAAGGCCAAAGCCTTCTTGGTGGCCTCCCTGAACACGTCGTCCACGTTCTCCTGGTACTTGGCCGAACACTCCAGGTAGAGCTCGGCGTTCATCCGCTCCCGGGCGGCCATGCCCTGCGTCCTCCAGCAAACAGGACCAAATTAGAACCGAGGAGATTGGCAGGCAATCCCACTTGGGGCCACCAGGGGCCTTCCTCCCGCAGATCAGGTTCGAACCCATACAATTGTTTTTTTTTTTGCATCATTCATTTGCATTTGTATTTTAGTTAGGATTCATTTGTAAATGGGGTTGAAATCATTCACGCTTTATTTCAGTGAAACAATTTAATCGCCAATTCCTTCATCAAATAAATACTAAATTGATGAAATGTTGATGTATAAGTGATTTTTTTAACAATTATTCCAGTAAACAAGTTTTTCATTAATTTTTAATATGTGTAAACTAACTCATTTAAACAAAATAATGCATTTTGAATGGTCTAATAGATCACGAATGTATTCATAATTTGGTTAATAAAATAATGTCTAATGTCCGTGGCAAGTTGTTCATTTTACTAGTTTTTAAACAAAACAAAACAAAAACAATGAAACATTTATTTAGATAATTGGATAAAATACATGCAAATATATTAATGACATTATTTCATATTAATAATTCATTGTCATATAATTACAATTATGACTGATTATCAAATTCATCATAAAAATGTAAAATTGCTTGAACAAAATGGTATTTGTATTCTATATTTTTTAAAATCCATTAAACGATTATTTCATTGTGTATGAATAAAAAATGTATTTGAATAATAACAAATCAGTTTCATTTGCATATTTCAAACTCATTTTCTTAGAATTAATTTGGCAATTACTGAATAAATTAATACAGAAATGTTAATTGTTTGACTTTTTTTTTTAACCATTACTGTTTAATTATTTACAATCGACATTTTAAAAAGACAAATAAATGCACTTGAATGAACCCATCTCAGAGAGAAAATAGCAAAATACAACAAATATTCCAGGGCGCTTGACAATCTACTCTCACTTTTCACATTCCGTCATTTGTCTTGTAAATTTAGCCCGATGTTTGGCCAGTGCAGATGGCTGTCATGTGGTCCTCACCTGCGTGTACGTTACGGGAGCCTGGTTGACGGCCTTCAGCCTCCTGCTGCACTCTTTGTCCTTCCTGAGGTCGGTCTTGCAGCCAATCAGGATGACCGGGACGTCCTGACAGAAGTGCTTCACCTCCGGGTGCCACTGAGCACATTGGCACATTTTGACTTTTTGGGTGCAACTCAATCACACGGCGCGTGTAGACAAACCGGGATTGACACTCACATTCATGCCTGCACACAATTTTGAGTCTTCAATGACACCAACAGGCATTCTGGGGCATAGTGTGAACCCCATTGAACGAGTTTCAGACCCACCAGTATTTTTCCGTAATTTTTTTTTTTTTTTTTACCCCTTAACCACACTTAAAACATATTTGGGAAACTGAAACTGCAAACATAAATGCATGCCTGTGTCACTGTTTTTGCTAGGTTTAAAATTAGCATAAAAGTGATGCTGATTAGTTAGTTAGTTAGTTAATTGTTTATTGAACATAAAATACAACAACAATTGACAAAAGGCAAACAAAATTACAAAAGGAAAAATAAGAATAAAAATAAAAAGTAAATAAAACAAACATCATCACCGTTATATGTTCAAAGGAGTAGGAAGAAGTATACAACTTATCTAGTCCTACCCCTTGTTGTGTAATAATATAAATAGATCATTTTTCAATGCAAAAGAAAAGGAAGATTTAGTCCATTCATAGCATTTCACATTATTATGTTCGCATTAAGCTAGTGGACATCCGTTTTTACAGTGGAACCCTGCTTATTCACAGTTTAAAAAAATTGTGATACCAGAATTTTTGATTTTGTTAATTATGGCAGTTATAAGCGAGCGTCAATTATTTGCGGATTTTCGCCATTCGCAGTTGTATCGTACGTATCCCCCCATGATAAACACGGGTTCGCTGATCCATAGTGATTAGCAGTGATGGATGCTAGGACGACCCCTAGATGGCAGTAATCCCTAAGGTATGTTCTTCCATTCCTGTTGTAAGGGAATGGAAGAAAAGTATGCTCAATACAATGGTCTTTACCCAAAAATCCGACAACGGTTTTAGATTCCGTGTGTGTGTGTGTGTGTGTGTGTGTGTGTGTGTGTGTTGTCTTTTTAAAGAAAAATAGCACTCTGCCGTATTGTACTTTATAAAAATACATAATAATGGCATAACTAAATAGAATGGAAATGATTCAACAGTTTCGGTGACTTTTTTTTTTTGTTTGTTTGTTTGTTTCGATTCAATTGATAGTGTGCTGCTCCATCTGCTATGAGCACCTTGGCCGGAGACAGTCAGTTTCTCAATAAGCTGCGGTAATTTGACGTTCTTCGCAGAGGACAAAGAACATATGCCTGTGAGTATCCTTCTATTGTCTCTCCCTGCTATGCCGATGTTATTTGTAAGTCATTCTATGGCATTTTGTTAGCATTAAGCTAAACAGACTTATTTAGTCAATTCAAGTCAACTTTATTGTCAAATATGCTCTATGTGCAACATACATAAGGTAAAGCTATTGGGTTGGTTTCAATACAAAGTGTGATTCTCTTTCATTTGTGTTTAGTTTGACAGTAAACTTCTGTTGCAAGTGGTAATAAACAGCTTGAAGCCTCTTTTTTGAAGAATTATTCAAGTGAGTTGTGTTGCCTGGACTGCCAACAAATAGGGCTCGTATCGCAAATTTACGCCCGCAAGTCAAAGCAAAACTCATCCGAAAGACATGTTGTATCTCAAAAAATATTTTTATCTCAAGGCACCGCTGGAGATGAATTTGTGAGTTGCATGGTGCCAATAGGTGTAGCTTCACAGTAATACTTTTATTTTATTGTGTTGAGTGTTGCTGTTGAGGTGTTGAAATGAGCATGCCAAGCTAACCACTGCATTGTGCTAGCTCGCGAACGTGCCACTTGCTTGCGAAATGACGTCACAATCACAGTAGCGACTTCACCGGCTAAAACAGCACATTTGAGTAAGCTAGATTTGTTCAAAAGTGATCAGTAGGAACGGGATCTGTGTCATACTGTTAGCAACAAAGTGCGCAGAGTCATGCACGCCGAATAAAGTGCCTTTGAAAAGTAATCCGACGGCTCTCCCGAGCGCCGCTAGCCGCTAGTGCGACCGTAGCGAAACGGTGGCAACAGGCGCCGTAGAATACAGTGTCAGCGTATTTAAATCAGGTTTTTTAGCACCCTTAATCGCAGCGTAGTTATGTTGCGTTTTTTTTTTTAGCGCCCTTAATCGGCAAATGAACGTTATTTCAGAATTCCGTCTTGTCGTTCATGTTGTTCGTAAGTACCGCCAGTTTGTGATGGGAATGCCTCAGGGTTTAGAAGATGAGTCAAGTCAGCCATTGTGCCGCGACACGCTACTGGGAACAACTCCAAAATAAAAGCTTGCCGAAGCATTGATGTCCATAAAATATTGTATTTGATTGGGTATGCTTGATTTTGAAGTTGGCCTTCCTAATGCATTGGCGGCATGATGCATAGCATAAACTATTGTTATCGAGGTGCCTGGGTACTAGTAAACTTCTAAACAAGGTGACCTTTTTTTTTTGTGTCATATTAACACACATGAATAATGCTCCCCCTGATTTGAGATGGCACAGCCCCAGTGACGAGCAAAGTTACAAATTTAGCACCTTTTTTTTTTCCGACAGTGCATCCAGACACGAGAGGAGGAAGTGGCTTCCCAATCTGGTTTTCAGCTCAAAGTCCGCACCAAAAGCAGCACACCGTTAAGTTAATCATGAGTCAAAAGAATGCGTGGCACTCCAAACTTGCAATTCCCGTTTGAAGAGTAAACACAAGCACGCAAACATACTTTTCCCATTGTCATGCCGTGATTTGCATCTTTTACCTTGATGGTCACATTGTCAAAACTGGTGGGGTTGGTCACGTCAAAGCAGACCAGAATGAGATGGGCCTGCTGGTACGAAAGCGGTCGCAGACGGTCGTAGTCCTCCTGGCCTGGAAGCACAAACGTGACAGCGAATTGCCCAAAAGGGATGCAAGCGAGCTCGGAAACCAGCAGACCACACGCGGAGATCGGATGACAGGCAGGCAGGCCGGGCGCACATGTTAGAACGTTACGTACTATAGATGCAGACGAAAACCACATCCTGGCTTCGACTTCCTCTTTGCAATGATGTAAGGCCCTCTGTGCATGACAATTTACAACAGGCAGATAAGATGTCCACTCGTATTGTCTTACAGAAAATTGACTGAAGGTCTATTGCCCATTTGCCTTTATGGTGTGAAGCCAATAACACTTCACATAAGGTCACCAAAAGGCGATCGGATTGCCTTCGTACAAAACAATGTCTCGTCTCGTTTCTCTTTCTGTTCTATGTTTCTGTCAGGACGACCAATATAACAGAATCTACGAGTGGGAATGGTTAATATCCAAGCAGGGTTGGAATTGTTTTTAGTTTTTCACATTACAGGGAGTTTTTTATTTGTCTTGAATTGTCTTTTTTTTTGTTTGTTTTTCAATTCGTTTTCAGTGCGAGTTTGTGAGTTTTTATTAAATGTATTATTTTTTGGGAAAATGCTTTTGTTTTAATTTAGTATTTTATTATAACAGTAATACCAAAAATAATTTTTTTTGAAAAAAGCTCATGTAGGGAAAATAATTGACAAAGGCAAATTGAAGCATATTTTCACTATAATTATATTCATTCTTATAAATGTTTCAATGGTTTTATTTATTTATTTTTAAGATCTTGGCCGAAAAGATTTCTTCTTCGACGAACCCTTCTTAATTCTGGTATGATTCAGCTCAGAAAAAGTCATAGTGGACGTAACTGATCCTATTACGCAAATGATGCTGTGACGCCAACTTTGACGCCACTTCTCTCCCTTATATGCGATCGGACCAACTAATTAATTGGCCGGCCAATTTAATCCATCGATATTACCGTTTATAAAATGGAGGGGGGGGAAAAAAATCAGCAGATTTATGATACATGGCTGCAGTTTGTTTTTAAAGTGCTCTATGAATAAAATTGAGCTGAGTAATGAAAGCCTGCTTGCTTAACTGCTATCATATATTGTGAAACGCCATAGACAGGCTACTAGAAATTAGCATCAACGTAATAATTATGTACGTATTGATGGGTGGATAGTTTAACCCTTTCGGGGACAGCGGTTACTGCAGTGGACCGGTTACAGGTTATCATTATTGGTGCATGAAAGGGTAAACACAAATGGTAGAGCAACACATGCAGACATAATTTTACAATGCGTAAAATTATAGATTCTTTATCCACCGCAAAGAATGACTAATATTACTGCATCTTACTTTGGAGTGACCGTCTCCAATTATTATTCTTGTCTGTTATTCTTGAGGTGGCCAAACAAGGCCAAAAACAAGAGTCAAAACTGTTGAATTGATTTTAGATTCTATTCATGTCTTTACTGTATGTTTTTGTAATGTACAGTATGACGGAGTGCTGTTTTCCAGGGAACGAAACCATGTTCCAAAATGTCTTGAAAATGTCTTACCTGCTGTGTCACACACGGTGAGCTTCACTTCTTTTCCTCGAAGGACCACAGAGGTGGTGTATTTTTCAAACACCGTGGGAGCATATTTCTATTGCAAATGGAGAACCATTACTATTGACATCATGATCAGATTTGGGGACTTAAATGCCCGTCATGAGATGAAAATTGTCACTATTTGTCAGTGACCAGATAGGGCAAACACGCTATGAGCCTCTTACCTCCGGAAAGTAATCTTTGGCATACACCATGAGAAGAGACGTTTTCCCACAGCCTCCATCTCCCACAATGACTATCTTGAGTTCCTCGCCCTCCCCGCCGCTGCCGTTACAACCGCCGGCATCTTTATTTTGTGTCATCCTGCTTGTAAAAAAAGATTCTCACAGGACCTGGCTACTCCCTCATTCAAAAGCATGCATGGCAAAGAAAGGCTGCGAAATCAACACATGGACAGGTCTCAGCTTGATTTCAATGCGAGTCTCATCTTTGAGCACTTGTGACTGCTTACCACTTCCCGTTCCTGTCTACCCGACTACAGATGACCCCTCGCAATTTTACCCTGCGTGCCGGTGTACAGCGACTTGTGCATATGACCGGCAAGCGCACGCTGCGCCTCCTTCTTTGATTGCATTGGGCGGGAACGCCTTTTTTTTTTTTTTTTTTTTGTACTGAGTTTCTTACTTTCTGCCAGATGCCTGTTTTTACATGCAGTCGAGAAACACAACAATGTTTCCCAAGAACACAATCTTATATCGCATTCAACCATTTGGCTCTGTTTGAGCTTTTTGTACAAATGCTCACAACCAACCTCACATGCGTTTAGTAAAAACAACTCTTGTGAAAAGTTCCAAAACATGTAATTATACATGAAGTGTATTTGCTTAATCTATAAGCTTTTTTTTCATTAATAAATTAAGGAAATTAGCGCAAGTGTATATGCGAACAGGGCCGGTGGGCCACATAGGGTCTACTCCGTTCTTTCTTCCAGTCCTGTAATAGTTTTAGCATTTAATTAGCCATTTTGCCTCCTAAAGTTGATATAGTTTTTAATTAATTTATATCATTAAATCATTTATTTGTTGTCAATAATGTAATGACAGATGCTTTATTCATGAACTAATGATATAATAGCGTACATCCCTCCATTATCTAAGCCACTTATCATCACGAAGGTTCATAGCGAACGTCCATCCTTCCATTTTCTAATCCGCTTATCCTCACGAGGGTCGCGGGCGTGCTGGAGTCTATCCCAGCTGTCTTCGGGCAGTAGGCGGGGGACACCCTGAACTGGTTGCCAGCCAATCGCAGGGCATACAAAGACGAACAACCATTTGCGCTCACAATCACACCTAGGGACAATTTAGAGTGCTCCAATAGTCTGCCATGCATGTTTTTGGAATGTGGGAGGAAACCGAAGTACCCGGAGAAAACCCACACAGGCAAGGGGGGAACCGGAATCGAACCCTGCACCTCTGCACTGTGACTTAGACATGCTAACCAGTTGCCCACCATGCCGCCTAAGAGTGAACAGATTTAAAAAATATATATTTTATTACATAATGGGTTACTTAATAGTAATTAAATTGTTCCTTTTTTATTTTGAGAGATTAAAGCAATGAATCTAGTACATTTTATTTATGAAGATTTTATTGAGTGATTTATGTTTAATTTTCAATATTTATATGAATAGTTCTGTTGATATTTGATCTTTTGTGTACTTTGTAATAGCGGCAGTTCTTTTAAAAACAGTCGTGAGTAAAGACAGCAATTTCAATAATCTTAGAACGATCATGAATTGTTTTGTTAAAATTAACTGTTTTACAAACCAGTTTACATCAGGTCTGACCCATCAAGTCCCTTCTAAAAATGAAACCTGGCCCTAAGGCACAAAAATGCGACCATCCGTGGCCTCTAAATTTGGGTTCAATACACACTCGCAGTATTTGTTTCCATATTGCTTTTCTAATGTGAGCACCATTTAAACCATTTAAAGGTACATGGGGCTCATGGTGAGAAAATGCAACTCCTGTATCTAAATAATCGATTTCTAAGACTGTCTTGTGATTTGACATGAGCAGCACATCTAATATAATCTTTTTTTCAGCAGTGTGTGAGAACAGCAGCGTGTGATGACATTAACCTGTCAGCACTGTTTGTAAAGCCTCTGACAGGAGCAAGACGGCTGGAGGAGTACGTTTAAGATAAAGCTAATTTTAGTTTGTTTTTTACAGATAAGATAGCAAAACCAAATTACTGGACATTGTGATCTTCTAAATACAGTGCTAGTATCACTGTCTGCCTCTGGACATTGTGAGTTTTCACATCATGACTCTAATGGCAGAAGTGACTAAACTTACTGTCACGTTACCCTATTGTTTTGCTGAAATGTGGTTTTTCTTTATGTCAGTGTTGTTTCTCAAATCATCCAGGTCACGGTAATCCAGAAAAGTCGAATCAAGGCATTTGAACACCTCGTTGACTTTGTCGTGCTTTTTCTTGTTTTAAAAAAAATTGCAATCCTGTGTGGTGCCCCATCAAGCTATCTGAATAGATTTTTGGAATACTAGTGGGATAGGAGGTTTTTCCATGGGAGTAAGGGTTGTTCATATTTTGTCAAGCTGTCCCTTTAAGGAAGAGACGAATTTGACAAGCTATTTTCTTGTCCTTAGCGGTCATGCTTAGGTACTGAAATTCAACCAGTTTGGTAGGTTTAAATAAAAAATGATCGAACATTAGTGAAGTCTGTTTATATGGAGCAAACATAACAAGTAAAAGTGGAATAAAAAGAGCAACGAGTACTTACTGGTCCTCCCACAAGTTTATTTCAAATATCAGTCCGATACAGTACTGCAATACAATTACATTCGCAAAAGCTAGCATATAAAAGCTACAAGAAACAAACTATAGAATAGCAATCTGCATTTCTTCAAAAGCAATTTTAAGGCTAAGAAATTCAAATGACAAACCGTCGAAAAGGCTTAACAATCAAAAGGGGGGTGGGGGGGGGTAACAAATGATAACATCTCTGTGACCAACTACTTATCGATAAAAAGGGAGTGGTAGTCCACGGGTCTTTTTTGTCAAAATGGTGAACAGAGACCAGCTTTTGTTCACCGCGCAGGGAGGCAACTGTCCAAGTCGATATAGTGGGGCAGGGCTGCAGCCCAATCCGCACTAGAACATTCCACAATGTTGAATGGCGCAGCACTAATGGGCGTTTTTTTTTTCAAAGCCTACGGACAATAAGTGTCTAACAACTGCTCGCTCCTATAATAAAACGTTCACCTTGGGTACACAAGCTTCTTCTTGGCTAGCTGTGTGTGTGTGTGTGTGTGTGTGTGTGTGTGTGTGTGTGTGTGTGCGCGTGCGCGCAAGTCAGGAGAAAGATGACGGGGGGAGGGTCGTTCAAAGCTCGGAGAAACGACAGCCCCGTGACCTGCTTCATGGCGGAATGCCCAAAATAAACACGGCGAGCTGGAAAAACAGGCCCCTGACACATGCTCGGAAAGTCACACAAATACAATAGACAAGAACTTTTAAGTCGCGCCCAGACACGCCAAACGAGCGCATACATTTTGTTTTAATCGCGTTTTACTTGTGTTTTCTGGCCTCCGCTGACATTATTTTCGAGGTTGTTTTTTCCACCTTGGCCCACAACGGAGCCGCTGTAGACTTCCCATGACCTAATATGGAAACACAGAGGGGGTTTGCTGAGCCCGCGTGTTGCTATGGCAACCCCCGCCACAGATCTCAGATTACCGCCTTCCGCTTAGGGAGTGAGTCAGTGAGCTGCAACCGTCGCCATCTTTTATTTCTTTCTTACCTCGATTCTTCGTCAATTTACTTCGGTTGTTTCAGTCCATTCCTGTCAAAATGACACGTTTAGCTAAAAACGCCCCGTTTGGAGTGTGGAAACGTCGAGAATTTCCCTTCCTTCCTCCCGAATGAGATAGGAGCTCACCCACCAAATCTGAAGCACAAGCGCGCTGCATTGTGTGTGCGTGCGCTCGAGAAGCCATTTTGAGAGCGAGCACAGCTGAGAAACTGCTCGTCATTTTTAAATCTACACGCCACCTAAATGACTATTGGACAAAGGGAAAGCAGTGAAAAGTCCCAAGATTTCTCCCCATTAAGACTCGTTTCCTTTTTACAGGCTTGGATTACATATTTTGAATACCAGCTGTAAGTCTACAATATTGACAAATACAAAAGTACGATGTTACATAAATTGCTATGGAAAATTGTTGATGAATCTCACTTGACAAGTGTTCACCGTCCTCTTATGAGAATGCCTTAAATGTAGATTCATTTTTAGAAAACAAGCAAAAGTGAGTGAAAAAGTGTAAAAATCAATTACCTTCACAAACAATATTTCCTTGTGGTTTTAATGTGGTGATGCTTAGTGAGTGGTGGATGTGGAAGAGGTTTTTAAGTTTGCTCTTATCCTGTCTTCAAGGAGAGAGAGAGATGGTTTGCATATTGCCCAAACAGATGATGGTTGAAGATGCGTTATTCGAAGGGTGGGAGGCACTGGCAAGAAGCACTCATGATTTCATTTGATCTTTTTTCTTTTTGAAAGAGCTCCGTCTTTCGTGCTAATGGATTCCTTCCTTTTCAGGAGACGTTTCCCCATCCCTTATTAATGACATTGTTGGAGGATCCGAAGATGGAGCTGAAATCGTTCCTCCTGCACTTGTGTCATGTAGGCCTGCTCACTGCATTTGAGGTAAATATCTTCAAGCGTGGTCCCTTCTTCTCTGGCTTGGGACGAGTAGACCTGTTTGGGGAAATTAAATGTGCCCTTGCCGCAAGGTCATTTGGTTGTTTTAAATGGCCATGGGGAGCATCACAAAGCAATCCTACGCAGAGCAGCCTCCAAAATCCCATCAGTTTCTGTTTTGGGAGAAAATGTTCAGACATTAATCAAAACAGTTGGGTGCTGAATTAAATGGTGAAATTGTCACCAACATCATAAGGCCACCAATGTCCACCGTTGGCATTCATGTAGAGGCTAGCATATTGACTAATGACGCTACAAAAGCTTACTTGGTTTTAGGACAAGAATAGTTTAATGAGCAATAACGTGCATGCCTTATTCACATTACAAACAGGGTAGATTATCAGAAAATTGGACTTACTCATGGCTACTCATTCAAGGCCTCAACTACACATTTAGATATTTAAACTGTTTTCCTGCCCCTCTTCAAAGTCATAAAGCAGTTTATTTACATGTATTTCAAAAAGAGAAAACTAGTATTATTTGGGTGTGCCACGTGGCCTGGCTTAAGACAAAGATGGATGATTCCAAGCAGAGGAAAAAAGGCTGAAAATGTTCACAGGGTAATTACATCCAGTACATTCTCTTCCTTCTTCTCAGTCCCTTTCAAAGGAAGCAATCATAGGATCTTATCATAGTCCATGAGAGGTGAGGAAATCAAGTGTAAGATCCCTTTTTGGAACAAAGGAAACCCATGTAGGCCATGAAGTCCCTGTGTTTTTTTAGGAAAATGGCTGCTGAGAGAGAGCTTTCAGGCCCCCTCTCTCTGCTGTGTGTTGAAGGACTTCTTGTGCCTCCCTCTAATAGCAGACAGCGCCTCTTTCAGCTGCACGCTGATTGGCTGGCCAGGCTGCCTGCTGTTAACCAGCCAATTGCCCAAGCGCTGGGGAGAAAAAAACAGCAGGCAATGTCAACCAGAACCATTTGCTTGCCCTAAAAAAATAATGTTAAAATAAATAAATAAAATGCTGTAAAACTAAATACAAACACAGAGTCACGTCGTGAGGAGCAAAGTACTCTCTTGTGTTTACCGTGAGTGGTGCATTTTTGAGGCATCAGCTACAAGAAAGAAATCTGTTTTGCATGAGAATACTCGTAGTATTTTTCTTGTTGAAAAACAATGAGGTCGTTATTGTCTTTCTGTGAAGTGCTACTTGATTATTTTCATTCAGATTTTTTGTGGTTTGCTTGAGCACTGAAAAAAAGGCATGCAATATGAACAAAACTCCATTCTTACCCAAAAAACCAACCAACAACAAAAATTATGTCAAATGCAATAGATGTCAGGTGGGCGAGCCAAGAGGGTAACAGTAACATTGAAGGTGCTGCAGGATTTCTGCAAATGCTGCCTGTTTAATGTGTGGCAACAACCTGTAATCATATGTCTCGGCTGTTCGGTAAGGTGGATAAACAGGAATCATACTTGACAAAGAAAAAAAAACTTGAAACCTCCCAAACATATGTGGTAAAATATGTTACGGTCTAGTCAAACTTTGCAATGCCGCTCATCACCAAAAGGACACTGAACCTAAAGTGAAGCATAGCATGGCACTGGCAACGTCATGCCGTGGTGCTGTTTTTTTCAGCGAGAACTGGGACCATAGACCAGTTGGATTTAGTTATGAACAGTTCCAATTAGCAGTCAGTGCTAGCAAAAACACCTTCCTGGTTCTGCAAGTTAGCAGGGAAAAAAATCAGAAAAGACAAAAATGTGAGCAGTGGGACTTTATTTGGAGTTGAACTGCAGCAGTTCAAATGATGGCAGGTGTGTGCTAACTCCCGTTTAGGGTGTCTTTTTTTACATGGCAAAAAATTCAAATGGCAAAATTCAAACAGAGATGAGTAGACATTCGATGTCCACTGAATGGATTGATAGAAGGACAGGTAGATGTTTTTAGTTTAGTAATTCTGTGAAGGAAATTAAGCAAAATTCTTAAACCAGTTACTCTAATTATTACAGTAAAATGATTCATATCCAAGCCAAATATTGAGTTAGCATAGACACTAAAATTAAGGAAAATCATTCTCAAGTCACGTAAATTCATTCACTCGTGAATTTAAAAGGCACCAGCTCAAATCTGTTGTTTTAAAATCACATTTGTTTTCTTACATCAAGGGCTACCATGTGTATGTATTCACATTACATTGGCGATTCTGATGAGGTTTGGCAGGCAGTGTCAAACAAAACTCTCTGCTTGCCCTAAAACCAACCAAAAGCAAGTAACATAATGTTTAAATTAAACGTAAACACGGCGTCAGGTGACGTTCGCGATGGGAAAAGACACTACAGTATTTATTTGCTGTGATGCGGCTACCAGCTCGAATCCCTCTTGTATTTAAAATATATACTCATATTTAGATTATTGTTGCTTTATTAAAAATAGCCGTTGGATGTTACTCACATTTCGGTTGCGATTCTAACGAGTTTTTATCGAACGTTTGTCTTGTTTGGTCAATGCGAGTCGAGGCAGATTCGTCACAAGCGTGTTGAGACAGTCAACCCGACACGGAAAAATATAGAAACATTTTCAAAAATAAGTTACGTACACGTGCACCGTATATCTTTTTTAACGGGGCGTTCTTAGCCTATCACGTTATACGACGCCTTTGTCTTTATTCCACGAACAGCTGGTAGTTGTCGTGGCGAAAGTGCGCCCGTCGTTTCGACGTGCAGCCAAAGCCTCAGCTAAACTAAGCTAAGCTAAGCGGTGTATTGTGGGAGAGACAGACAGAAAGAAGCTACCGTACCCTGCCAAAGCTCCACACAGCAGCACAGACACGAGCAGCAGCCACACAATATGTGCGGGCTCTCGCTCAAAAAGGAGCCACTTACACCCTTCACCCAGCGAAATCATGTAATGTGAGCGGGGCGAAAAGCGATTCCCCATTTATCTCACCGATTCAACAAGAAAGAATCCCTCGATCGGGGCGAATCATGTCCAAGCCGGGGGAGAGAAACAAATTGTGCGAGGACCATGGCAGAAAGCAGAGTTCAAGTAAGCTTCCCCCTCTCTTCTCCACCTTTCTGTCAATTGTCTTGCGGAGCACCACAAAGTCACGCATGTGGAACGTTTTGGTAGAAGTGTCGCGGACGAGGAAGGTGCTGGTGGTGGGTAACTGGTGGTAACGGGAGCGAGCGAGCGTCTGTGCTTTAGCCGCCACCGATGCCTCACGTTAGCTCGGCTTTGCCTTCCCGTGTGTGTGCTTTCAGCGTTGGCCAACGGCACGGACGGTCACCCCGGCTCGGCGGAGAAGCGGAGTCACCACTGGAGAAGTTTCAAGCTGATCATCGACCCGGCACTCAAGAAGGGATCGCACAAGCTGTTTCGCTACGATGGACATGCTTTCAACATGCCCGTAAGTGGACCGCCGCCGGTGAGAGTACCCGAGGAGGCGAGCTCCACAACGGAGCGCACTCTCTCCCGGACTCAGCCTCCATCATCGCCGTTGTCTCAAAGCACAAGCTACTTTGCGTTACTTTGTTTACTTGTCGTCGGAGTGAGAAAGTACTTAGGTGGATGTCAGCAATGTGCTCCCGCCTCCTCCGCAGAACCCGGGGATGCCACCGGTGGACAGCGTCCGAGACCCGAGGATCGGTCGCCTATGGACCAAATACAAAGAAACGGACCTACCGGTGCCCAAGTTTAAGGTAATCTTCACAGCAAGTATTTTCCTTGGGGTAGGAAAATGTATATTAGCTGTCATAAGTTAGAGACACACAGCCCTGCTCATCTTTCAGCTTTCTGTGACAATTGTTGTGCTGTGTTAAGAGTGGGGGACTATCTTATTTGTGAATCCTTTCTCAACTATCAATTGAGCAAATGTTTATTTCATTTTGGCAGCATTTGTAGGGAGTCTCGGACAACTGTTGCATGCGTGGACTACACTAAAGTGCTCTGAGGGGCATGCTATACTTATCAGTTGAACAAATGTTTATTACTACTACATATTAGCTGCATTTGTGGGCTTTGTAAAGACAACCCCTGTCTCACTTCATGATTCCCCTAAAAATCCCCTTTCCAATCCCCCCCCCCCAACCAAGATCGATGAGTATTACATTGGCCCCGTGCCCCCGAAGGAGGTGACGTTCGCACGTTTGAACGACAACATACGTGAGGGCTTCCTGACGGACATGTGCAAGAAGTTTGGTGACATCGAGGAGGTGGAGATCCTTTACAACCCCAAGAATAAGAAGCACCTTGGGATTGCCAAGGTGGTCTTCGAGAGTGTCAAAGCCGCCAAGGTGGCCGTGCAGATGCTGCACAACACGTCCGTGATGGGAAACATCATCCATGTGGAGCTGGACCCCAAAGGTAAACATATCCAGTAGCTGCCGTGTCTTCACTTGTGATGTCTGTCTTACTTGGGGCGACAGCTGTCACGTGATCATCTGCATTGCTTGGGAACTGAGGGCTAATTGAATTTCATTGAATGTAATCCCTGCTCCCACAAGCCCCTGGCTGAGGGCGCCATCTACTCCCCAGTGAGCCTAATTTCAGCCTGTAAACAAACGCTAAAAGACCTGAATACACCCCCACCCACTACAAATCAACTCTGCTGTCATTTGTCGGTAGATTCAACATTTACTTGAAATGTGAGGTTCAATTTGACAGTTTTGAATCATTTTATAGGCTTCAGCTCATTTAGAACATTGTAGAAACTACAGTTTTGCCTTGTGTGTTTAATTCATTCGGTGGCCAAATTCCCAATTTAAATGAACGGAATGCCATTAATTTGCAGCAGAACCCCCCCCCCTTCAAAAAAGCACTAACAACAATGTTTGTAATGTGTTTTTAAGAAGAAAAATCACACTAAAGCATTGCATTTTATAAAAACGTACAGCAGTAACCTAATTAGATTATAAATCAACAGTTTGTATATCATGATTTGATGTTCTAATTTGTTGTGCGACTCCTGGTGTTCGCACGTTGGCCACTAGGGATCAGTACATACACAAGAAAACGGTCCCAGCTGCTCAGTAAACTGATTCTTAGTCGGTTTTCACGGGGTAGACAAATGTTATATTGCCTCTCTGCATCTGTTGTTTCTGTGCCGAAATTACTGTTGCTTCAAAGGTTCGAATACCACAACATTTATGCTAGTTTCGTTCGCCCCTCAATGGGGTTCCCAGCCCCCCCCCCCAACCAAGATCGATGAGTATTACATTGGCCCCGTGCCCCCGAAGGAGGTGACGTTCGCACGTTTGAACGACAACATACGTGAGGGCTTCCTGACGGACATGTGCAAGAAGTTTGGTGACATCGAGGAGGTGGAGATCCTTTACAACCCCAAGAATAAGAAGCACCTTGGGATTGCCAAGGTGGTCTTCGAGAGTGTCAAAGCCGCCAAGGTGGCCGTGCAGATGCTGCACAACACGTCCGTGATGGGAAACATCATCCATGTGGAGCTGGACCCCAAAGGTAAACATATCCAGTAGCTGCCGTGTCTTCACTTGTGATGTCTGTCTTACTTGGGGCGACAGCTGTCACGTGATCATCTGCATTGCTTGGGAACTGAGGGCTAATTGAATTTCATTGAATGTAATCCCTGCTCCCACAAGCCCCTGGCTGAGGGCGCCATCTACTCCCCAGTGAGCCTAATTTCAGCCTGTAAACAAACGCTAAAAGACCTGAATACACCCCCACCCACTACAAATCAACTCTGCTGTCATTTGTCGGTAGATTCAACATTTACTTGAAATGTGAGGTTCAATTTGACAGTTTTGAATCATTTTATAGGCTTCAGCTCATTTAGAACATTGTAGAAACTACAGTTTTGCCTTGTGTGTTTAATTCATTCGGTGGCCAAATTCCCAATTTAAATGAACGGAATGCCATTAATTTGCAGCAGAACCCCCCCCCCTTCAAAAAAGCACTAACAACAATGTTTGTAATGTGTTTTTAAGAAGAAAAATCACACTAAAGCATTGCATTTTATAAAAACGTACAGCAGTAACCTAATTAGATTATAAATCAACAGTTTGTATATCATGATTTGATGTTCTAATTTGTTGTGCGACTCCTGGTGTTCGCACGTTGGCCACTAGGGATCAGTACATACACAAGAAAACGGTCCCAGCTGCTCAGTAAACTGATTCTTAGTCGGTTTTCACGGGGTAGACAAATGTTATATTGCCTCTCTGCATCTGTTGTTTCTGTGCCGAAATTACTGTTGCTTCAAAGGTTCGAATACCACAACATTTATGCTAGTTTCGTTCGCCCCTCAATGGGGTTTTGCATTGCACTTTAGCAATTAGCTAGTGGACTTTAATGTGTAATTCTCTTTGTTTTCATAATGATAATTTCCTTTGTTAACTCGGTGAGGCATTTGAGAACAGCTTACAATGTCAAACTGGGGGAAGTTTAGGGTTCAGCGTCTTGCCCAAAGAAAGTCCAACACTGTCAGGAATCGATGGCTTGAAGCCTCATTTTTTTTTTCCCTTGTTCAAACATTGCGCATCTGTCACCACTGTATTTCTGTTCCCTAAAATCCCCAATTATGACAAAATTACATAATTAAGAGTTTGCATATTTACAACCTCCTCCCACATTTATCGACTGAGGTAAACCATTCCAAATTCAAGTCTCACTATTTCCGTTTTGCCACTTAAATTAATTCCACAGCAATATAGTTTAGCTTCAGCTTTTCAGCTGTCACATGTATTTTTTAAAGAAATAGCATTCTGTGGTGGTTTATAAGTGTTCCATTATTGAACTTCTTTCGTGTTACTTTGAAGTGAATCAACCAAAGATAAAGTGCACTTCGATATGAGTGAAGGGAAAAAAAAACACTGAACAGTTTCAGCCTGGGCTCTGTTGTATTTGTCAAGACAAGCTTGTGTTGGATTTGTTTAATTTAAGCAAGTATACCTGATATAACATTTGATCCAGAGCTGCCCAAAGGCAGAAGGAAAATCTGTGTAGTGCCTTGCAAACACTAGGGGCCCCAAGGAGTAGCATATTCATTTTTAAATAGTATTGAGCAAGGACAGAATTACAAAAGTAGTTAAATGTATGGATACAACTCAGTGCTTTATCATTTGAAATGTCAAACCGTCTGTTCTTGAAGTGTCATTTAAAAAACGTTTTAGTCTTTGTACTCATCATTTCTCAAGGGGATATTCAATGATGAACCCAATTTTGTTTCGGGCAATTTTTGTTTTGGATCCTTTCAGAGTTGCTTTGCAGTGTAAAACAATCATCAATAATAAACAGGCAGTCATAAATATTCAATATTGGTTCCAAAATCCATACTTGCTTTCAAGTCTTTTCAGTGCCTCCACATTATGTTGAGTTTGGTGCTCAGCTGTTAGCATAGTTTGAACACTTCCAAACAAATTGTAACAAAGGTGTATTTATGAACCCGGCCTCACATCCCCCGTGTCAACTGCTCCTCAGGTGAAAATCGCATTAGGTACTTCCAGCTCCTGATGAATGGAAGCTACACGCCGCGGACGCTGCCTGTTGGTGGGGAGGAAGCGAGAGAAGTTTCCCCTCGTAGCCTGGCTGAAGCTTTACTGGTAAGAAGACTCTTAGTTACCTGTTGCAGCATGAAACTTGAGGTCAGCATGCACACTTTAAAGTTGACATTGAGGATGTTTACATTAGAATCCACAACATTTAGAATAATCAAATAAAACGTAACTTATTTGACTAGTTAAATTGAAAACTCGTATAGACTAAGTACATAAATAAAGAAGAAAATGAGATCGTCCTTACTGTTTCTTTTAAAATTTGGCTCCTAAAACCCCTGAAATGTTAAACTGTGTAATCCAAGAGTTTCACTCTTTGAACTGAACAACATGGAATGAACTTTTTTGTGATGTCCTATTTTATTGAGATGAACCTTTTTCTTTTGTGAGCATTTCTGGGTTCAGTGCTGTGCCCTGGATCAAATGTGCCTGTTCTTGAAATATTTGACATATTGATTGTCCCTTCCATAGGCATGCGAGCCCATCCGCAGGTTGTCGGAGAGCAACTTGTCGGCTGCGGCAGGCTCGATCCCGCCGAGCGGCAGCACCTCTACCACACCGCTGTCCCTGGAGACGGGCTACTCCAGCCTGAGGCAGGACACGCCCCAGTCCCAGGGAACGCCACGCCAAGTGGGCACCCCCTTCTCACAAGACTCCAGCTACTCCAGTCGCCAGTCCACCCCCGCGTACCAGTCCGGCACCAGCCGTGTGGAGAGTTCCGGAGGCTACAAGTCGCGGAGACACGAGAGCAAGTTCCAGGATGCTTACAATCGCAGACCGGAGAGGCCTCAGTACCGCAGCAATATGTACCGCAACACCACATCTGAGCAAGCGCCCTTTAAGCAGCATCACCTCACTCCCCCTGAACCTCCACCTACGCCCCCCTCTTTCTCCTATACGGCACCTCCCCCTGCTACGCCCAACTTCAAGTCTGCTTTCTCGCCCTACCAGACTCCCTTGCCTCCCGCTTTCCCCCCGTCGGAACCAACATTTCATCACCCGTCCCAAAGGGAGGGCGAGTGCCAGCGACCCCCTCAGCCGCCTCTGGCCGCACCCACTGACCTTTTGCCTTTGAAGGATAGACCGGAAACCCCTCCCGCCCCCGAGCCTCCGCCGGAACCGGCACCCCATCCTAGCACGCCTCCTCCCAAGACGCCCGAACACTGTCCGTCACCCGGCTCGCCCGCCGCTGACCCTGAGCGCAATAGCCTGGACTCACGTATTGAGATGTTGCTCAAGGAGAAAAGGACTAAACTGCCTTTCCTGGCGGAGCGAGACTCGGACACTGAGGTGCGAATGGAAGGGAGTCCCATTTCCTCCTCGTCCTCGCAGCTCTCCCCGATACCGCCGTACCTGGGCGGTGGAGCACCAAACTCCCGACCGTGTAGCACAGGCTTGGAGGACATCAGTCCCACGCCGCTGCCGGACTCGGACTCGGATGACGAGCCTATCCCCGTAACGGCCTCGCTGGTCAAGAAGAACAGCTCTCCCCTCGACCACGAGAGCAACAGCAAAGTCAATGAGGAACATTCTCGAGCACACACGGCAACAGAAAAAATCGAGACGGTAAGCACCACCTTTATAATGACAAGAATTCAGTTGCGGTGAATCTGTCAGATGCGCTCCAGTAGACGGAGGTCGTGTGTTAGCGATGTTTCAGCACAGCTGTTAACCAGAGCGCAGGAAGTGAGGTCGAGTTTCGAGTTCTCATCGAAAGCTTTCCTTTTTGTTTCACACTTTGTTGTTTCTCGTAAAGGAATCTTGGGTTTCACAACAAAACAAAGCTGTGTTTACATTATTACATGTGGTGTGTGGACGAGTAAGTGTAACACGGTGCTCGCTCAAAGGGCTTTCTAGTCTCCACTTAAAGCTAGGCTGGTTTCCTCTTTCTAATACTACTACTACTGCAGGAAAAAAGAGGAAAACACAAGTTTGGCTGTTGGCCCCATTCAGTGGCACACTTCCTGCTTTTGCTCTCATCCTGGCAGGCAGGATTGGCTGTGCCGCTGTAGGTGTTCTCACATTTCAGTTATTACAATGCAAACACATCATTTGTGTAGCACTGTCACGCTTCATGTTGTCAAGAAATGGGAGCCTATCGTATGACATCCTTTTTGAAGAACCGATAAGAGTGCTTTCGCTTGTCCAGTTCAAACGAGAGTCGACACGTTCTTGCTTCAAGCTGTTTGTCACTCCCACTTGAAGTTTACAGAAGAACGATATGATCACAACTGTGTACTAGCATAATTAACATGTAATGAAAGAGGCCATAGATGGGCTAAGTAAACTAATCTTGGTCACCATGCTCATTAGAGATCGTCAAAACAACTGCTACATAACACAAACTGATCAACAACACACAGGACAATATTCACAGTCGTCTATTCTTTGGATGATCTTTTCTATGTTTTCGGACCAAGATAGTTTATTGTGATGATCTCTCACCGCACTGTGATGGTGAAAGCCCCGTTTGAGATGCCATCTTTTCCATTCCCCCCACCCCAGAGTCATCATTCGTCCGGAGAAGACATGGAGATCTCTGACGACGAGATGCCTGGCACGCCAATCGCCGGCGGCGACTGTAGCAAAGGCATTGTCGTCAACTCCGCCGTGTCCCCCATCCAAACCCTGGCGCTCCCTCCGCCCGGCTTCTCCCACCTGGCCCACCAGGCTGGGTTCGCCATGCCCCACCACCACCTTGGCGCCGTGCCGGGGCATCCGACTCACCTGGCCGCTCATCCCGCCGTGCACCCGCACCTGCTGCCCCACATGGCTCACTACGCACCCGGCATGATCCCGATGGTCCAAATGGAGCTGATGAACTGTTCGCAGTGGCAACAGTGGAGCACAGTTCCCATGTCCTTCCAGATGCAGCAGCAGATGCTGAGCCGCATGGCGCAAACGCGTGGCCCTTATCCTTACCCGCATTTCTTGGACAGCGCCGCCTCCGGGCAGTTCGCCGCACCGTACCAACATCTCTCCATGGGCGGCACACACGCCAGTGGTGCGGGGGCGCCAGGGCAACAGTGGCAACATCCCAGCATGCCCAAGTTCAACCCGACGGTTCCCCCTCCTGGATATGAGACAAAGAAGGAGGACCCCCACAAAGCCACCGTCGAAGGTGTGCTGCAGGTCATCGTCAAAGAACTGAAGGCCATCATGAAGAGGGACCTTAATCGCAAAATGGTGGAAGTGGTGGCTTTTAGGGCCTTTGATGAGTGGTGGGAGAAGAAGGAACGCTCGGCAAAGGTAAGTTGCTTTTTAGCGCTTTCAAATATGCTTTTGTTCATCTGTATTGTATCATCCCTGCAATGGAATTATGGGGAAAAAAATATCACAATTATTTTGACTGATGCTGCCATCGCGATTAATAAACACAACTTTGACTTACTGTCAAAACAAAGCTTTGAATATAACTTAAATGAACAGCTAGACAATAAATTGGTATAAATTAAAGTCAAGATATATTCAAGTCACAACAATTAAAATAAATAAATAAATAAATACCTGCTGTTTCTCCTGTTTGCACCTTCCCTACTGTATACTGTAGAACCCCATTAAAAGAGGTTGCGTAATGAATTGCAATAGAATGTGGAACATTAGCAAGCCTAAGAAAAAAAGCAAGACACATGGTCCTTTGGCGGTTGCTGAAATCAGCTCTGGGCAATTTGCAGAATTGTATTTTAATTTCCTGCATGATTCATTTTGTGGAGCTTTGCCCCCCCAAAATGTTCAAATTCCAAATGTTCTCGTGCCAGGCATCCTTGACTCCAATCAAAGGTGCGGAGGGTAAGGAAGAGGAGCGACCTAAACCGAAAGAGACCATCGGTTCAAGTCTCCTTGAGAACTGGAACAAAGGCGAGGGTCTGGGTTACGAAGGCATGGGGCTCGGAATCGGCTTGCGAGGAGCCATCCGCTTGCCCTCCTTTAAGGTAGCAAAAGCTTGTTTTCTTTTCTATTCTTATTGCTAACCTCGTCCGCAGCGTTTGGTGTTAAGCGTTGGAATGTGGCACTCAGGTGAAAAGGAAAGACCCACCAGAGGCCATCACCGCAGGGGAGAACAAACGAGTGCGGCCCTCGACTCCTGTGGATGACGAGCTGGAAGATGAAGGTAAAGGCAACGCGCTTCCCCACTGAGCATTTACATTTTCAAGTGTCTTGTAATATTCGTTGGCCTTGGCTAACATTTTATTCCTGAAATTGCAAAGTGAAGAATAATCTTTTCAACTTCAGTTTCCTCTATACATGTAAAAATTTTTAAATAAAGAAAAAAAACATGGTAAATTAAACAAGCAACTTAAATATAATATACATTTTGATCAAATCACAATGTGATTTGAAAATGTGAATTAGATGATTCAAAGTCTTATTCATCTTTCATATACACATTAAACTTTGTAACCTCATTTATGAATAACCTGGGCCATCTGACTGAATTATTTTTTGTTTTGTACACAATGAAATCGAAACTAAATTATATTCTGAAATAACAGGTAAATTATTTTGAAATAATACGATTTAAAAATGTGGATCATGACTTACCATTTATCTCGGGTAGAGCGCGATCGGGATCTGACGGAGCTCCCATCGGACGACTCCAAAATGGACGGTGACGGCATTTCGACCAAGCGGAGACACTCGCGCCCAATTGACTTAGACAGCGAGGGCGAGGAGGATGCGGACACATCGGAGAAGGAGGAGTCGCTGTGCGACCGAGAGGAGGAACCCGACGGGACGGCGCCCACTGAAAGGCTATCACCGAGCAAAGTACAGTGAAATTTCTATTATGTATGATTAAAAGCATTTTTTTTTTATTGCACCCCTGATGGATAGAGGGATAGATAGATTTCTTTTCAAATTGTAAAGAGACTTTGCTGACCCCCTGTAATTTGTTTTGGCAGAGTGTTGATGAGGACGCTGACAGAGAGTCGTCCAGTGAGAGTGCATCCTCAGATTCTTCTGACGACGGTACGTTATTTGCCTGAGAATGACACGTTTGCGTCTTGACGTCCGCTGCAGTTTGGCATCTCACGACGTCATCTCCCGCAGAGTCGGAGAGTTCCGCGTCATCCAAGAGCAGCTCGGACTCCTCATCGGCCAGCTCGGATTCCTCCGAGTACGAGTTGAGCTCGGAAGACGAGGTCTCCGAGGTGGAGATGGAAGACAACGATGCGGGCAAAGCACCCAGGACCTCCTCATCCTCTTCGTCGTCGTCATCTTCATCATCGGATGAAGAGGGAGAGACGGACTCCAGGCCACCCAGTCCTTCTCCAGTCCCGATCAGGGATGTTACGGAAGAGCTGAGCAGCAAACCGAAATTCAGACCTCCAAGTCCCGAGGAGGCGCTAACGGAGGAAGTGAAGCCACCGTCGCCCAAACTTGTTCCAGGTAGGATCTCTCAACCAATAATTGCATTTGGCACAGAGGAAATATGATGGCTCGCTCTTTTGTTTTACCTGGAGCATTTTAATTATCGACAGTCTTAGAATATTTCTTATATTTATCCAGTTCCGATGTGGCCTTTTGTGTATGTTCAAGGGGACAATGCTTGTGATTTTGCAGCCAAAGAAGACGTCAGCGGCGATGAAAGCGGCACTGTGAAGTCAGAACCTCGGGAGAACTTGCGGCCGCCCACGCCAACGGGCGCCCTTCCTTCCGACAGCGATCAGGAGAGCAAAGCCAAAGGTAAAGCGGAGCCCGAGGGAGCGGCCACGATGTCAGGTGGATTAGCCCCGCCCCACCTCCATTCCCAAGGCCTCGCGCCCCCGTCCGCTTCCGCCTCCTTAATGCACCTCCCTCTCCCGCCTCGCCCCACAGTAGAAGGTCGCTCCATCCTCCACCCGCCCTCAGATCCCTCCCAATGGGCTCGTCAGCCCACGGACGAAGACATTCCCCGGACGCCTGGCCGAGACTTGGCGGAACGAGCCCGCCTTCTGGGCAAGTCCCAGAGCACGGACACGTTGCCTAACACCCCAGGTAGTGACGCTCCGCTCACGGGGAGCAGCAGCCTGATGCTCAGCTCTCCGCATATTCCCGGTAGCCCTTTCTCTTACCCTGCTCAGTCTCCTGTCCTCAGCGCCGGAGTCCCTCGCACTCCGGGGCGAGACTTAACTTTCACCCCTGTCTTCCCTGACCCCTCCGCACTTAATCGGAAGGTCTCCTCCGAGAGCCTGGACGAACGTCCCGTGTTTAAGGAGCCCCCCGTCAGCGCCTTACCTAACCAAGCCTCATTAACAGGTACGGAGCATCCGGCCAGCCTCTCCGGAGACGTGAGATCCGAAGAATCAGACAGCGTCACGTCCAAGCGCAAACCCGCGCGACGCAAAGGGAAAAAGATTACCCTCCTCTCAGAGTCTTCTGAGCTGTCACCTGACTCGACTCCTTTGCGAGACGTCGATGCGCGGAAAATCTCCGCCAAGTCCCCTGATGGCCCGAGCCCCGACTTTGGGGCAGCGCAACCTCAGACGACTCTGCTGCCCGAAACGGAAGATGGCTTCCTTTCCTACGAAGAGGATACGCCCGTGGTCATAAAGCCGCCGCGGCGGGCGCGGCGAGGTTGGGAGGAGCTTCTGCTGGACAGCCTATCCCCTGTCACCACGCCGCCTCGAGCTTACTTCTCCAGACGCAGTGACTTTGAGGAGATGACCATCTTGTACGACATTTGGAATGAGGGCATCGACGAGGAGGACATCCGGCTCCTGCAGGTCACCTACGACGAGATGCTGCAGCAGGACAACGGCAACGACTGGCTCAACGACACGCTTTGGGTTAATCATCCGCATATCCTTTTTTGCGTGACCGCCAAGCATTGGTCTTACATCCTCGCATCGACCTCAAACATCGAAAACTTTTGGACATTCTGTCGTAATTTCGCTAGAATATATTTTATACAGCTAAATTTTGAAGTCACGTTTTTCCAAATACCATAATAGTATATTTCGCGGAGTTCTGTAATTTTATGAGTTCGCAGCGCCCTCTGTTTGCAGCAACGGAGAACCTTTTGGTTCCCTGAGCTCCAAAGCCCAAATAGTTCCCGCCCTTGACGGCCCTGCACAAACCAACATCCCGCGAGTGAAGAAAAAGAGACGAGATGACGGCATGAGGGATCACATGACCGGCTGTGCCCGAAGCGAAGGTTACTACAAAATTGACAAGAAGGACAAGATCAAGTACCTGCTGAGCACGCGGCTGCAGTCGGAGGAGCCACCCGTTGACACTCAGGTAGGGAGGCTACGAACCATTATTTTAATTTTCGTCTGATTCTTTTGTTGGTAAATCTGCTTTGGGAATAAACAAAAAAAAAATCCATCACTACAGTTAAAAACGGAACATTATTTCCCCCAAAAAATGCACAAATGACTGCCATTATGTACTGGTTGCTCTGGATGTGCCAAAACTTGAAATGTGGTTTGCATTGAAATTGCTGGAACTTTGTCACTTTGAGGATTAAGACAAGTATTTAAACAATGGATGATCAAAATATTAATTTCATAAACAACGATCGTAGTTGTTAATCACCTCGAAAGATTTTCCCCTTTACTGCTCCAAGTATCAAATTACCTCCATCCTTGACTATGAATAATCGATATCAAATCGGCTCTGGGGCGGGAACATATCGGTCTATCTTTATAAACAAGGTGTCTAAACGACAATTGATCATCAAATTATTAATTATTCTAAATTAAAATTATAGAGTCATTTGATGATCAATTAATTTGCTAACAAATTAGTTGTTGATTAATCGTTGCACCTCTACACCCGGGTGACTTTTAGTAGCCGAATTATCGTGCTTGGGTATGCAGAAGGATAATGTGAAATGTCATAGAGTTAGACGTTCCGGTAATTCGAACCCTCCAAACAACTTTGACTTGAACATACACGGAGCAGCAACGCATGCAAGCAAACTGTACAAACAACACTCAAATGCATGTTTTCTATCGCTTTCTTTCTCGCTCAGGGGATGAGTATTCCTGCGCAAGTGCACGCCTCCACCAGGGCGGGATCCGAGCGGCGGTCTGAGCAGCGCCGCTTGTTGTCGTCGTTCGCGTGTGACAGCGACCTCCTCAAGTTCAACCAGCTGAAGGTGAGCACGCATGCGCCCGCTTTGTCTTTCCGGGGACCAAATTGACTGACGGTCGCCGACAAATATGCACGCTTCCAGTTCCGTAAGAAGAAAATCCGATTCTGCAAGTCGCACATCCACGACTGGGGTCTGTTCGCTTTGGAGCCCATCGCTGCTGACGAGATGGTCATTGAGTACGTGGGACAAAATATCAGACAGGTGAGACGATGGCAACAGCTGTTTGTAAAATAACAAAAGTACGGTACATTTGGAGATTGAAGTAAAACATTTTCGCCGTTAGTCTTACTTTTAGGAGAATAAAGTATAAAGTTGGCTAGTTTTGTGGCAAAAGTTTTTATTTTTGAAATGAGAGTGGTGAAAAAGATAATGTTTGTGTATTTTAAAGTGAAAGGCTTTATATTGTATTTTCTCATTAAAGTTGTACTTTTCTACAAATTAGGTTGCATATTTTTTTTAAATCAGACGTGTATATTTTTGATTGTTTTGCGAGAGTGAAGTTGTATTCCAAAGTTAAAAAGTTGCATTTTTTTTTTAAGGTTGTAATTTTTAAAAAAATAATTTCAGATTGGTCTTATTTTCTGAATTAAGTTGTGGGCCTATATGTTTTGTAGATTAGTCATATAGTCCCTTTCTTTTTTAAATTTGGGTTCAGGGTACGAAGTCATTTTTTAAATTTGTTTGAATTCTTTCAGTAAAAGTTTGGTTGAAGACTCAAGTTATCATTTTAATATTCATATATCCAGTTATACCCTGACAATCAAGTTGGGTATTTTTGAGAGTTGTTCCTTTTGAGCAAAAATGTGATGTCTTTTTGTTTTTTTGGCCCACAATCAAGTTGTGTGTTTTGGTGTCCTTCGGGTTTTGTCCGTAGGTGATCGCGGACATGCGGGAGAAGCGTTACGAGGATGAGGGCATCGGCAGCAGCTACATGTTCCGCGTGGACCACGACACCATCATTGACGCCACCAAGTGCGGAAACTTTGCTCGCTTCATCAACCACAGCTGCAACGTAAGGGCCGCGCCTCGACAAAGCGCCAGATTACATCCCGCCGTTCTCACTCACTCACTCCCTTCCTCCATTTCTTCCTTGACCCGGACGAGAACCTTCCTTCCATCTTTTGACCCCTCCTCCAGATATCTCTCCTTCCATTCATTCTGTCTTTTTAACTTCCCTTCCTCCTCCCGTCCTTCCTACCTTCCTTTCATACCATCCTCGCCACCTTCATTCTAACCGGCCGCTCTTCCTTCCTTTCTACTTTACTGACCTCCATCCATCCCTTGAATAAATTAATTTTAGAAGTGTCTACCTACTTTTGGACCACCGTCTTTTGAAATTGCACAATGTCAGTGTGATATATTGTGTTGTTGACGTTCATCTTCTTCTCACTTGTGTGATTTCCCCCCACTACCCTCCCCAGCCTAACTGTTACGCGAAGGTGATCACAGTAGAGTCGCAGAAGAAGATCGTCATCTACTCGCGGCAGCCCATCAACGTCAACGAGGAGATCACGTACGACTACAAGTTCCCCATTGAGGATGAGAAGATCCCTTGCTTGTGCGGCGCCGAGAACTGCCGGGGGACGCTCAACTGAGCAAAACTGCCAACGTTTGATGGTTTACGATTTATGGTGCTGTTCCATCCATTCGACTTGTCCGCTTTTGGGTCCCCCACTCGCCCCGTTGTTTTCTTGGCTTGATTAATTACACAATTTGGAAAAGCTTTGGGGTGAAATTTCAGGATTTTATTTTTTATTTTTTTAAACACTGATCAGCGAGAAGGACCCCTGCCAGGGGAAAACAAACGTGACTGGGATCGGGATATCTCTTAACACTCTTTGGGATCATTTAAAAAAAAAAAAAAATCCACCCAAATTCAACCAGAGTTATGATAGTAACAAACAAATGTGGCCTTTTTAAAAAGGATGCCCATTGCGTGTCATGTCACTGGCAAAAGTTGACACTTTTGGCATAACAACGGTGTACTCTTCAACAGTATTTGTCGAAATGGGCATAGAGATCCTGCAGCTTACGAGCGCTAATACTGCAAAAAAAAAAAACCTCAAACTATTGTAATGACCACAATAATACAGCATTTTTCACCATCTTTTTATTTTGTATAGCCCTTGTAGGACTTACATGTTCACTGCACAAAAAAAGCTAAAGAAACATCCAAATAACTTAAAGGCTCAACTTGAAGCTTCTGTACATCAATTAAGAATTAATTGACTCCTTTCGCAGTATCGGTGAGCTTCTCATGTATTATTCCGTCAGTGTTCAAACGGTTCCTGCGACAACAACAACAAAAAAAGGAAAAATAATTGTTGAATGCACTTCCGCTTTGCCAGGCAGACACAACTTCTCATTGGCTCGGTGTCACAATACTGGAGACTTGCTTTCTGTTTATATTGTAAACTTGTACAGAAAATCTGCAACCTTTTTTTATACTTCGTCACGGGGTCTCACTTTTAAGATGTTTTCTAGAAAATAAGACTGCCTATTGAAAAAAAAAGTATTTTCAGGGATCTGTAAATGGAATGACAAGTTGTTTATTTCAAGAAGAAAAAAACAAAAAAAAGAAGGTCCACTGTGTACAGGAAGTCACCTTCCATCGCCCCCTTTTTGGAAAGATTGTTTCTTGTAGAAACGTCTTCATTCCTCTTGCCTGTCTCAAACATGTACATAAGCTAACTGTGAATATGATATGAATATATATATTTTTTTGTTCCCCCAAGGATTTGCTACACCATCCGAGCTCCGAGAGCTGTGTAACATATGATGCGAGCGGTGAGCTTGTAGCACCACATTTCAGCTTGTGTCAAGCTTTGGTTTTCTTTTCTTTGTATTCATTTTTGTGTTGTAAATTCTATGAAATGAAAAGTTGTTTTGCGGTGTGGAGAAAGTGAGGATGATGAAAAAAAAATCAGCGTATAGGAAGAGGACTGAACAATCAGCCCGTTCCTCATGTCTATTTATTACATGACAAATGTATGAACATGTTTGGGGAAAAAAATATGGAAATAAAGCAATTTTGCATACATCCATAAAAATCGTCTGTTCCATTTCTGTCAATCATTTTAAACCTGATCCTGTTAGCAATAATTTAGCCTTTCTGAAATTGGTAATGACGTTTTGTTTCACTTTCTCTCATTGAATAATTTATTGCAAATAATAGAAAAGCATCATATAAGGTTACATACCAGATGTTACAACATGAACACGTAATACAGTATAAACATGTCAATTACAAATAGGGGTGGAAACGTTGTCAACGGGGTACATTGAAAAGAGGTTCGACTGTACAATGTACGGATTTGAAGTGGCTGTGAAGAGACAGAAAGAGGCAGAGCTGGAAAATACCAAAATGAAGATGGTGAGGTTGTCTTTAGAAGTGACTTGGTTAGATAGGATAAAAATTTGAAATTCTTATCTTATTTTATTTCTTATTTTTTTATGTGTTATATTCAGTCTTTTGTACAAGAGAACGACATTGTTACAGCTGCGGCTGTTAAAGTGAAGTAAAATAAAAGTGAAGTAAAATAAAACGGAAGTGAAGCGCCACCCCTTGCCTCTAAATGGCGCTCAAGCAAACCGAGCCTTGTGCTTTGCGTCTGATTACTTCCGGTTGACGAAGGGTCCTCGTTCTGTTGTGGTCTTGCTTGGATCTAGCGTGCATATTACGTCTCGGACCTTCGAATAATACACTTCGTTTTCCCCCTTTTTCAGATTTTAGCGCAGTGATACTTTTGTACGACATTTTTTATTAAGACAATGACGGAGGTAAGACGAACATTTCATACTTTTATTGACTTTTTTTAGGTCGTTCCCGTCCAGAAATCGGGACCCGACTAATGCCTGGGGAGAATCAGCTGCCCGCTATTCGCCGTTTTCCGATTTATGGACTCTTCATATTTGCTGTGTTTTGATAAAGATTTCAACTTGTTTTATGTGTTCACAGGACGTCCAGAAGCACTCGGTCCACACGCTGGTCTTTCGCTCGCTCAAGAGGACTCATGACATGTTTGTGTCGGACCAAGCCAAGTACATTCCATTGGACGAACAAAGGTAAAAAGCCACGTTTAAATGAATACACAAAACAAACGATTACAAAATAAAACTTCTACAGGTGCAACGCGTAAATCAGTTATCAGATGAACCGATTATTATTTTGATTGTCAAAACCTTTGCAGACGTCTACTTTTACGTTGAAAAATAATACGGTACTCAAGCTTCCTGCCAATTTTCTGTTAGGGACCAAACTAATAAGTGAATCTTAATCAGTTGTTTGGACATTTTCAACACTGTCAATCTGAACTGTAATGTTTGTGTATATTGCTATATTCATCCAATTCACCAAGTAATCGATTATTAAAATAAACGTTAGTTGCAAAAGTTATTTGGCAAGCAATCTTGTGTTGCCGTAACCAATTACATGCGTCACTGGCCGTGAAGAAATTTGTGAGAATCTTTACAGAATTTGCTTATGGACCTTTGCCCTTTGCACTGTAGCCATGGCTTTTGACACAGGTTTTGTGGGACAATTTTGAGGGAGTAATTATTGACCACACCACTGCCCATTTCAAATCGTCATTGGTGATTTGGAGTTCAAACCCTGATTTGTCATAACGAAAGAAAGAAATGTTTAAACTGTTATGCAGTTTGGCTAAATGCACTCGGAATCATCTTTGCTTTCGGTATCATGTTGTGCGCCTGCAGTCACAAGCTGAAGATGGCGGTGAAATTGAAAGCAGACTACGGCGCTGTCCTCCACATGCCCATCTTGAAGGAAGTCAAAGAGCGAGTCCCTCAGCCCACCAGCAGCATGCAGCTTCAGCTCGGCTACGCGCAGCCAGGTGAGCGCAGATCAACAAGCACTGTACGTTTAGAGGATAGTTTGTATTTTCTTGAATGAGCACTTGACTTACTTTTTCCCTGATCTAGTGTCTGATGAGCCAGAGTACACAATCACTGGAACACATGCTTACCCTTCTGGACCTGGTAAGTTCTAAAGTAGCTTTATATGCTTGGCTCAGCAGCGCAAAGTATCCTGCTCAATGTAGTTCACAATGCTGTGTGCGGTTGAAGCGGGCCCAAAATCCATGTTTTTTTTCTGCTTTTAATATCATGGCGGTTTTAATATCGGCATGAACGTTCCATTCCTCGTTATAAGCTTGGACCCTAAACAGACACAACTCAGAAGTGAAGGCGCCGCTGTTTTTATGAATGTTGTTGTATTGCGGGTCTTGCAACTCTGGCTAACTGAAACTCAATTCCGTTCAAATGATGAGGAGTGGCGCTGACCGCCGACACAAAGATACACAGGAACCCCAGCGAGGCCGGCGTCCACTCCATGGCGTTGGCGCTGCCGCCATCACAGGCCAGGTGAGTCCAGCGTTAGTATTGCCAGCATAGCAGAATGACTGAGGCTGCAGTATTTTGCTATTCGGAAATTTGTAATTAAATCAGTTATCAGACTGTCGCCAATTAAGGGCATGAAAAAAAAAATTCATGAAGCTGACAATGCGTTTGTACGATGCCCGTTGGCGGCGTTTAGCGACGGCACCAGCGCTAGCTAATACTTGCTACAGCTAGCTAGCGCTTGCTCGGAAAGAAATACTTTTTTTTTTTCAGTGAGGTTAATATATAATTTTCTTAATTCGGTTTTAAGAACATTGCATAAACTAATTTTGATATTAAGAAATAGAGAGGAAAAAAACACACCAGAGACAAAACTGAGCATTTAGTTATTTATTAACTTAATGACATGCTGTTACCCATCACGTATTTTATCGTTAAATAATGGGAGTCACAGCACTTACTTTTTCCCACAACACTACGTATTCTATGCACGAAGCTTTAAAATATTCCCCAAGTTGGCAACTAACTGTGAGCAACCGCGTTGTTAGTGGACGCGGTGCAGGTCAGCCGGTATGTGCGTTGAGCTACGGAAGACACAGAATCAGCCATCGCAATTTTCAGTTCATGGATCAGCCCTACAGATGAATCATTTGTCATCAAATCTGCTGCCTTGCAGCCAAGATGCCAGCCGCACCGCCGCCAGCGTTCCGGAGATCCATCGGCACGCCGGGGCAACTGAGCGATCTCACCCACCTTCGACCGCGTTGGTATGTCCCGAGGTGGATTGGAATTTCTTTGGCACGCCGTCGCCCGTCCGTCTCCCTTTTAAAGTATTTTGGCTTTTTTTTTTTTTTTTTTTTTGTGTGTTTTGTTTTTTGTAGTCACTCATGGAAAGTGGCGGCACCAGGACATCTGCGCTCATGAGGCGAGCCCCCACCATGCCCAAGCCTCAGTGGCACCCGCCATGGAAACTCTTTCGGGTGACTGCCTCCCACGGGACCAATGCGCTCATTCAGGTTTTTATCCAACCGTTATCAACGTGTGTTGATGATGCGGCAGGTCATCAGCGGTCACCTCGGCTGGGTGCGCTCCATCGCCGTGGAGCCCGGCAATCAGTGGTTTGTCACCGGCTCGGCTGATAGAACCATAAAGGTGATGTATTTTTTTAATATTGAAAAAAAAAAACTGTCAATATGAGAATCACCGGGCACAAATATGTGTGGGTGCAAATGTCCCTTTTTGGGACGGAGGCAATAAATGTGCCGGTTTTGCCTGGACAGATCTGGGACCTGGCGAGCGGGAAGCTGAAGCTGTCGCTCACCGGACACATCAGCACGGTGCGCGGCGTGGCGGTCAGCAGTCGCAGCCCCTACCTGTTCTCCTGCGGCGAGGACAAGCAAGTCAAGTGCTGGGATTTGGAGTACAACAAGGTGGGTCGACGCCCAGCGTTCCCTCGCAATCTGGCGCTTCGTGGTCAGAATGTAACTGCGGCCCACCCGACAGGTGATCCGCCACTACCACGGCCACCTGAGCGCCGTCTACGGCCTGGATCTGCACCCCACCATCGACGTGCTGGTGACGTGCAGCAGAGACGCCACGGCCAGGGTAATGTGCTCCTCCGCCGCCGCCGCCCTCTCGTGATCATGCTTGCGACATATGCGTCGACGACGTTTTTCCTCCTATTTTAGGTGTGGGACATCAGGTCCAAAGCGAACGCGCACACGCTCACCGGGCATACCAACACGGTGGCCACGGTCAAGTGCCAAGCTGCAGAGCCGCAAGTCATTACCGGTACGACAATGTTGGAGAAACAGCCGACTGAGGTAATCCTACGAACCCACAGATGTTAGCCCTGCTAAATTTGATGTGACCTCCCGCAGGGAGCCATGACTCAACCATCAGGTTATGGGACTTGATTGCCGGCAAAACCAGAGCGACGCTGACAAACCACAAGAAGTCCGTCAGGAGCGTCGTACTGCATCCCCGACAGTAAGTCACTCGGCCTGAAACCGAAAGCGTTTAGCCAATCGCGCTCCGCGCCGTCCTTGCGTCAACATGAAGTGTTTCTTGTGTCCGCCAGGTACACGTTTTCCTCTGGCTCTGCCGACAACATCAAAGAGTGGATGTTCCCCGATGGCAAATTCATCCAGAACCTCTCGGGGCACAACGCCATCATCAACACCCTGGCCGTCAACTCCGACGGCGTTCTCGTCTCCGGAGGTATTGATCCCGCCCGGTTGTTTAGCGCTGAGAGCCCGTGTCGCGAGATGCGCCCTCACGCTCACTTGTCTGTCTTGTGTCCGCGTCTAGCCGACAACGGGACCATCCACATGTGGGACTGGAGGACCGGCTACAACTTCCAGCGGATCCACGCCGCCGTGCAGCCCGGCTCCCTGGATAGCGAGTCGGGCATCTTCGCCTGCACGTTCGACAACTCGGAAAGTCGTCTGATCACGGCCGAAGCGGACAAGACGGTCAAAGTGTACAAAGAGGATGACACCGCTGTACGTATGGATTGTTTCGGTTTGCGTTCACGGTACTTTTTACGCTGTTGATGATGAGAATGGTAAGATGAGCTGCGCTGGCAAATGCTTTTTCAAAGCCACGAGCGACATTTCTCACTTCTGAGATGGGGTTTTTTTTTTTGCGTCGGAAATGGGCAAGGCTAACCCCTTTGTTCGACCAGTTAAGTCGACAGCATTTCAGTTCATCTCAGGCTTCGACATGCCGTTGCTATGGAAACCGTCTTCTCTCATACGTAATGGCTTTGATTTATGAGAGCATTTCTTTGTGTCTTACAGACGGAAGAGAGCCATCCAGTGAACTGGAAACCGGAAATGTTGAAACGAAAAAGATTCTGATTCCCCCTTCGACCACATTAAATCCCTTTGTTTGTTTAACTTTGTTCTTTGTTTTTTTTCTTGGATTGGTCTGTCCTGCGCAAGCTTATTTTGCATTGGACATGCTAACAATTGGATTTGATATTCCTGCAGCATTATGGAAGCGCTTTGTACATTGGGGTAGCTGACGCTAAGTCGCTTTCCATGCGAGATGGCCAAGAGACTCAGTAGTTGTATGGTCAACCTGAGCGCAAAACCATTTGAGGGATCATCGTTTATTGTTCTACTTGGTCGTTTTTTTCGACTAAAAACGCATGACTATTCATGGTCGTTTTTTTTGGGCTAAAAACGCCTTACTATACATGGTCATTTTTTTAGAATGAAAATTTCATCCAAAAACGCCTTACTATACATGTTCGTTTTTTTCGGCTAAAAACGCCTGACTATACATGGTCGTTTTTTTGGGCTGTAAAAACGCCTTACTCTTGATGGTCATTTTTTTGGGCTGTAAAAACGCCTTACTATACATGGTGTTTTTTTTCGGCTAAAAACGCCTTACTTTTCATGGTCGTTTTTTTGGGCTGTAATAACGCCTTATTATACATGGTCGTTTTTTTCGGCTAAAAACGCCTTACTATATATACATGGTCGTTTTTTTCGGCTAAAAACGCCTTACTATAACATGGTCGTTTTTTTCGGCTCAAAACGCCTTACTATACATGGTCGTTTTTTTCAGAAAAAAATGGCTTACTAAACATGGTCGTTTTTTGGGGGGGGGGGCTAAAAACGCCTTACTATACATGG